ACGTTTACAGATTTCACTTGTATCGAACGTTTTTACATACCTAAGTAACATACAATATTTGTTTGGATCGAATATCGTTATTTTATGAGATACAATTTCAACTACGTAAAATCACCTCCCAATCACGGTTGCGAAGTGTCTTAAACGAGTTCCTACGTTTGAAATGTTTTCTACGTGTAATGCACGTTTAAACCGTGATTATTAACGGTCAGTTACTAAAAATAATAGAAGAGTAAAGATATTTTATAAAGTCCCCTGTTCATTCTTAAAAGATAAATGAAAAAAAAAAAAAATGAAAAATTCATATATTAATTACTATTTTAGATAAAGAAGTAATTTTATTATTTCCAATTTTTCCTTCGTGTTTAAATAAATATTGTCTACTAATATAATATGATGTTTACGAAAGAAAAACATGTTTAATACATACACATTAACACATTTGTTTACGATTAACAAAATTTTTGAAAAAAAAAAAAAACGAAATAAAAGGTTTTTATTGCAATCCTGCATCTAATATAATATACCTAACATTATAATGTTTATGTGCGGTTATAGATCGTGGTGCAGTAAAATTTTACTCAAACTGTTTAATAAAAATATATTTACGACCGAACTATTATATTACACACGGGCGTCGATTTCGGATTACATAAACGAAATAAAATTTAAAGTACGGATAAATCCATAATAATGAACGATACATAAATTTAACAGTATCCCGACATTATTTCCAACGAGAAAACCTACAAGTTATCCTTATGGCTGCACACGTTGCCGCATTTAGGATTTTAGGAAATGTTAAATTTGGAATTTCTGCCGCGTAATTGGGTTATTATACGGTTGCGAAGTGTTTTAAACATTTTGTTTCCGATACTCGTTTAAAACCTTTAAATACAAAATAATTAACGCGTTTTGAAGAGTGATGAAGATAATTGTACTGTTTCTACTCATTCTTAAAATTTAAACGAAAATAAACAGTTCCAATAAAATTTTTGGATAAGTATCATTTTTTTTAGTTATTATTTTCTCGTTATATAATTATGATAACGTTTATTTACAATTAGATATTATTATAATAAGGTATTGATAAAAAATTAAAAAAAAAAAAAATACGTTTAAAATGTACTAAATTGTTTTTTGGAATTTGTTTTGTTTTTTTTTTAAATTGGTTTTCACCGGATAAGGCGAATAAAAATAAATGTTTAATTCATAAATTTCCATCGCCAAATTGTTAATCTGTCATACAAACTATAGGCAAGGTAAGTTAGTGATATGCTCATATGACCTATTAACTAATATTTAGGTACCGACTGAACTTGTACACAAGTATTACAGTGGTTGGGGTACGTTTCGTTTAAAACAAGAAAATGTATTCGTTCGGGAGATTTTATATGTACGTAGAATATGTTAACATCGTTACTTAAATAACGTTGAGTTGTTGACTTTTCTGACTAAAAAGTGAAGAAATTCGAGTTTGAAAATAAGTAATAGCACAATAAATAATGTAAAAAAAAAGACGCAAAAAAAAAGATCAAGGGAAAAATTATATATTCTCTCGAATCCCTCGCCCGAAATACGACACTGATTGCACAGAGTAATAATAATATATATTTTACTGAACGTCATCGTAGTCGATACAGACTAATTTTGTAATACTCGAATACAAATATACGAACGGGAAGTATTGGTCCGTTTTTGAAAATCGTTCTACAGATCAAACCTCCGCTTCGGTGTATACAGCGGCCTTCGATATTCTTTAACTGAGACATTTTTTCACCGGATGAGACCCGGTGATCGACAATTACAGTGTTGACACTAATTTGAACTATTGTGCTTTTTATACCTCCGTGCCCTTCTCATATACTACGTAATATCGACTGTCCGGTTCAAGACTGTTTAACGATTAAACAAAATAAAAAAAAAAAAAAAAAAACAAAATCAAAAATGATCCGACTACACCATTTCTGTGTGTATACTTTTCAAAACCGCAATAGAAATTAGTTAAACTATTGAGAGCATTGCTGCAGAGTTCTTGTTTCTCTTTAGAACAACGTCTCATGTTGATTTAACTTGTCCGGTTCTAAAGTGAATACTGAGTGAGTACGTTTTATCGCAAACAATACGCGTATTTAAATAGAAAAAATATTTAGTAACCACGGAAATATAACGTAACGCCCACAAATGTGTACGACCAAAAATATTGTATCCGCACTCAATTCGTTTCGTGTTTTGCAACGGGTTAAAATCCGATCAACGAAAATCCGAAAAATGTTCAATATTCGTTGAATTCGTACAAAACTCTTTTGAAAAAAATCCACTTTGGAGTTGTTGCCGTCTTAAAGCGGATAGCCGATACGCGAGTGGGTGCGTTGTAATAATGTAATCGTAGGCGCACTGTAATAACACGACTGGTACGGTAAATCCTTACTCTCGCGAGTTTCTGTTTAATTAATGGTACTATAAATTACCGCGCGGCAACACTAACTAACTGCACATAAATCATATTGTGTAAAAAGAAATATAAAAAAAAAAAAAACACGAGAGTGAAATCTGAACTGCGAAACGCAAAAACAACACGATAACAATAATAACAATATTATATACGTATACGTAAACGTACCTGTGCGTATCCACGTGCCGACACTGATGTATATCAACCGCGCCAGTGCAGGGGATTATCCCTGGAGCATATTGCGCTCGACTAATTAATTTCCCGACGTAAATTATTAAGTGGGAATTTTTTTTATGTTTTTATTTTTGTTTAAAAAACTAATCTACGGACTAGGAAGTTTTTTCCGTTGATCTAAAAATATTATGTCCATTAACTTCACACTATAAAGCTGGAAAAATAATTATTCTCTAAACAGCGTTATTTATCGGTTGTTTTTTTTCTTTATTATTTTTATAAAAGTCCATCGTATATATTATACGGTTTGTTTCACGAGGCGACAGAAAAAAAAAAAAAAAAAAAAATGTCTTCGTATAAATAGTTCAGTTTTGTAAATTTTACAAATTGCAGTATATAAGGCACTTAAGGTTTAATTTTTTTTTTTCTTTTTAGTGAAAGCTGGAAACTTTATGTATACCTTTTATAATAATTTTGACCTAAAATATGTGCACATCGCACTGTGAACATAACACAGTAAATTATCGCGGTGTTTTTAGCCAACATAAACATAAAATTTGCATTTTACGATTTAATTGAAACCCGTTATAATACTGTGTACCTACCTACGCGTACGTATATTACAATAGTGTGTGCGTATACATAAAAGTGAATTTTTACGACGACACGATGCGCAAAAATACGAATTTCTATATCATATTATACAGAGTGGTTATATTTATTAACGCGAACTGGGAGGTTATACTATTTACACGGGGATTTCGAGTGAATTTGATTTCGGTTCTTTCCCGATAAAAGTACCCACCCGGGGGAACCGTTTTCGGCCAAAATTTACCTTACACTTTTTGATCCGCACGCTGTTCTGGTCACCAATGCAAAATTAAATAAAAGAAAAAAAAAAATGATAATAATTTTAGTCGCGATGAAGAAAAAAGGAAGGAAAAGAAGAAGAATGTTTGTTTTTCACGATACAAATGACAAATATTTGCCAATTTTACTGTTAATCGTTATTTTTTTGTGAAGATTACAATATTCGTAAATCGCGTTTCTATTTGTCAATTTAAACATTTGGTTTATTCTTAAAAATTAATTTTGAAATTGGCACAGTGTACTGTATTTTATAACGTCCATTGTCAGTACATACTATATAAATGTAAATAAATAAATGTGTACACCATATTTTTAGTTGTTTTTTTTTTTATATGTGCAATTAATATAGCTACAAACAATATTGGGTTTTTTTTTTTTTTTATAATCATGACAAATTTGTGTTTAATAAACGTGTAACGTCTCTTTTCTGACATTTTATAATTTCGGTACGGTATTTTTCTCGAAACTGTTTATCATTTAGAAACGTGGGCGTGTCAACTGCGTAATTTAACGTATGTTTCTGTTTGTTATATATTTAACCAATACATTGTTATCGGAGAGGAGTCCTTGAACAATTTCGGTTAAAAAATATTAACGAAACGAACCGCACGCATTAATTATCGTACTTGTTCAATCAGAAGATCCGGATGTCCGAATAATAGGAGGGAATGTGCAGCTTTCTTGCATTTCTCCAATCTCTAGACTCGCCCGTTAAATATGTTCGCGGTATGATTTAAATATTTTCGAGACAAACCGACTGTTAAGTCCTCGACAAAACGATCTTCTACGCCTATCTTGGGTTAGAAAAACAAAAAATTGTATTTCAAAAGGCGAAATTATATCACGACCAGTTTCCCGTTGTCTGAAGAATGTTTTTTACTATACTCGATGACCGAGCCCGAGTTTCGAAATTGACGGCACCGAAAACGCGTCAAACGAAATCTACAGTAAACAATATTGTAGAATTAAGCTGTGTATACGATAGTTTTACGTACCTGTTGATAACTCGGAATCGACAATCATAAATGTCGGAAAACCTAACGAATTACATTTACATCGACGTTATAGCGGCGCGCACGCTGAAAGGTAAAAACATTTTGCGTTTACAGCGGTGACCAAAATAGCGTACCGGTCAAAAACGGATATTCCGGACCGGGCGAAAAGCGAAAGGCGGTTGTTCTGGCCGAAAAGTGTCCAGCCCTTCTATATAACATAACTCCTCCAACTCTCTGGCATCGCAACCCTTCAAGAGTTATTGCCGCCACCGACGCCCCTTTTCGCACTTCTCGGTTTTGAACTATTTCTTCCCAATTCGGTATGCCCATAATTTCTCCGGGTCTGTTTTTCTATGGGTATCAATGCATGGGCCGATGTTTGATATCGGCGGGATCGGTTTTATGTTTTCGAAACCGATAATCGACCGGGATATTGTCAGAGAAAAACGTCTACAATGTCTCTGGAATATAAATATAAAAAAATCGTTAAAACATCGGGGTTCCAACCCGCATATCGGTTAATTTCCATACCGACCCGCGACTTTCGTTCGGGTATCGGGTTGAAAAAATAGTGATCGACCGTATTATTATTATACCGGGCAGTCGTTTTATTCGTATTAAATACGGCGGTACAATAATAAGGCAATAAGGACTCGCATTAAGCGGTCACCGTGCACGACCTAGACGGGTTGAAAAAAAAAAAATTCAAAAGTGTCGGTCGCCTTTGCGGTTATATCGATACATTATACTTTATTGTTTATAAAAAAAAAACGTTCTTTTGACAATTGTATAAACATTATCGCGCGTTTTCGTATTGTGACTTTATATCGCTGCGGTCTAGTGTGTCGCGTTTAATTTTTAATTTTTTTTTTTGTTTTATCGCTGTGTTTAACACTCGTGTATTTATTAATCATACGACTACGAGTAGTGGCAATAATACACGTACTGTATCAGAGGTACTGTTGGATCTCGTACCATTTTTTAGCGGAGAACCGTTTGTACGGTGACATACGGCGCGGTGCGACGTTTGAGTCGAGTGTTTAATCGAAACGGACCGTCCCCCGAAAACGGGAGGGGGGGCGGTGGGAAGGGGGACAAAAAAATAAAAAAAAATGAACGGTATTGTACAGCGCATTTTGGAGCTACCACTCGGTTTTTAAATTGTAAAAAAAAAAACACTAAAAAAATCAACGCTTTCCGAGATATCGCGGTGATCGTTGTTTTCGCGGGACACCCTGTATAGGGCGATCGTTTAAAAAGAAATAAAAATCCGCGTCGCATTATATCGGACGCGGATTAACGGGGTTTCGAAATAATAATTATTGAAGAGCCGCTGCAGTTTCGAATTGTGCAAATATCAATACGGGCACTAAATCACGTTCGTGCGCGCGTCACGTACATTTTCAATGTCCCACCGAATGTTATACACGCGCCTCTGTGCATCCACCCACCCACGTACACGCGGCCAGGGGGTTATTATTCATTCCGATTTCGCCGGACGCCGGATTCGTTAGTCCGTATACGTGTTATGATAAATATTATTCGCCTAATCGATTTCGAGCGAGCTGGCGTTTTTTATATATATATATATTTTTATTATTATTATTATTTTTTTTTTCGTCGCTCGAGTCGTTTGTCACGCGCAATTAAAAACAGGTATATAGACGCGTAAAAAAAAAAAATTTAACAAATGAGAGATACGTATCGATGTTATTATTGTTTTACGCGGTCCGGTTTAACGAAATTAGAGATTTAAAAAAAATCCACAGATCCGTTAATGTATATCTTTTTTTTTATACGTATATATTGGCTTCTTGAAAATGGCATTGTAGTCGTCTGTTTTTTTTTTTTTTTCTTATCGTTTGCGAAATCATTCTTATACCGACGCTGCCGTATAGATATTGAACAACAAAAAAAAAATAAAAAAAATAATAATAATAATATAAACATGTCCAGTCCTATATTGTAGTACGTCGGACCTTGGTTAAAGTTTCGTATAAACGCGCGTTTTACGCCTTGGTCTGTTCAATTCGTCGTACGAAATTTACTCCGACCCCGGGTCTCGAGAAACGCACGTAAGCGATAAGAGTCAATACTCTTGATATTTTCCGCGAGAATTGAATTTAAAATAATTTGTTTATAACGTGAAGTCGTGTATAATTTATGGAGTTTTCGCGCGAGTTTAGTCATAATAATTAGAGATCAATATATAAACCCGCTCGGTAATATGCATCGGCTGAGATTAATTATTTACTGCGTATTCGTAACAACGTAATAAAAAAGACCCGAGGCTAGACTTTTCGGGCGACCAGAAAATTGATCTAGTTTCTCGAATAGAGTACATTTATACGAGACGAGAAGTTTTGACGGCCGTATACTAAAATAGCCCGCGACATAATATTTGTGCGTGCCGCGAACTGCGTGAGACGACGGTAGTATTATAAAAGCCACGGCGGTAGCGTGTAGTTGGTGTATGGGGCGGGAAAGGTTGATCCCGTACCATTGAAAAAAAATAAATCGAAAATGAAAACTTAAATTTATTTGACAAAAAAAAAAAAAAATAAAAATAAAACAAGAACTGCCAAAATATCCGGTAGACGTATGAGAACGATATAGAAACCTTACTATCGCTTTGGATGGATTTGGGGATGTCCCGTCTCTTCCCCCGAGTCCTGTATCTCGAATCCCACCCCTCCCCCGATTTAAAAGCTTTCTAGTATTTGTATAGACTTTGCAGAACGATTTAAAAAAAAAAAAAAAAAAATCGTGTGACATTAACACAAGTATTTATCTCGTAATTCATTACTTAAACAGATTTGCCGACTTGGTACACGGCCGCCAGGCTCGCCAACAATTTTCTATATCGCATAATATTAAAAACTCTCTAAAAACTCGTAGATCGAAAAAGCGGTCTCAAACTATTTATCGCGCGATATTTTTAAATCTTAATATTTCACGAGTCGCGGTTTCTGTAACGTTGCACGATTTCCCCGCAACAGCGTTCGGCTTTTAGACGTTAATTCGAAATCGATAACAGTGTTTTAGAAAATTATCGATTTACACTTTCGTTATTGCGCTATTGCTTATTATACGTATATTATCGAAAAAGTGGTTTTGTGTATAAGCTGTCGAAAAACTTCAACGATTCGGGAAAATCTACGAACCGACTACATTCCCGGTTTCTAAACGCATTTTTAACAATATAGATAAACCGTAATAATTCCACAATGTGATCAATAATCGTACATTAACTCGTCGTCACTTGACATATTTTCTTAAATTGTGTACGTTATGACCGCGGATAAAGAAAATACGACAACAAAACAAAGCGCGTGATGAGCAAAAAAAAAAAAAAAAAAGGTATTTTATCAGTTTTTTTGGATTGGACACTCCCGTGATGGTTATGTGATGGCCATCTATGTATAACCGTGGTCCCCGTCACAGTGAGTTTTCCGCAAAAATTGTACCGCGGTATCGGAGAAACGAAAATCGATTAAGAAGATATGAAAATGCGGATAGTATAACGGGTAATATTTTCTTGAAAACAGCAGTAATATTTGTCCGCACTTTGAAGACCCGGTACTCAGCGCGACGACCGCGTTTCGGCGTACGACAGGAACTCTGCTGTCGTACACCGCACGACCGTTCAAATCATTGTTTCCGTACGCCTTTGCGACACTTGTAGTACGGCAGAGTACACCTCTCGAAATGAATACGGTGACTATTACAATGCGGCCACGCGCGCGAGAAACCCACACGAATCGAACGCCGTTGTACGGACGACTCAATCGGTCCAGATTGATTTTTATTATTACTGCGAACAATATTGAGAACAACCTTCGCGTGACCTATCGCCGCCGTACCTATTTAATAATAATAAATTGACGATATCGTAACGACGCGCTGTTAAAACTGACGGGCCGACGGACGCGCATAAGGCGTTCTACATAATAATAACCGGTAACAACATCGGCTACGCGGTACCGATTCGTAATCGTGTTTTTTTTTTCAAATCAAAAGCAAAACAAAATACGTATTTGAAAATAAAATACGTAGACCCGCCATAAAAGGAGCAAGTCACTTTGTCCGGTATTCGAGCCGAACAAAGATACGGACATATACTCCGCTCGATGGGCGGGCCACTGTGGTCGGTGAGAAGTTGGGAAGATAGAGGGGAAATTCAATGTACGCCTGTACGAAACGATCGCTAACGAAAATCGATTCTGAGCGAAGTTCGGTTAATATAGTGTTGTTCTGTCGGCAATATATACGTCATAATAATATATTATGGTAAAATAGTTGCAAATACATTGTAAAATTTTCTTCGATAACGATTGTTTAACGTTGTACCCGATTTCCCGGTTTTTCCCGTTTATTATGAAAACAGCTGAGAAAAAAAAAAAAAAACGACCACCTGTAAATTATACCATCCCAATCAGATTTCGTTTCGGAAAACGTGGTGCAATTGAAAACCGGAGCGAAATCGCCGGTGAACAATTTGTCCTCGGAAAAAATAAAAAAATTAATAACCCCCGTTGTAAAACCGATACGTTCCTCGATCCGCTCAGAATCCAACGACACTGGGCGGCCGAACGGTCCAATAACACCGGATTCTAAACACGCAAACGTAACCCTCGCGCGGTCCGCACGGCGGCCACTGTAACGGGGCGTCGACGGAAATCAACGGTCTCAAACCGTACGCGCTGCGGGTCGCGTATGCGGACGGACGGACGCGACGGGGATGCCTAAACTCTCCAAATAATCGCGTCGATAAACCGAAAACGTCCGTTGGCAACCCAAAAGCCGCGACGAAATCAACGACCGTTGCGCGTTTGTAACGCGCGACGGAATAATACGGCGGATTTTATATTTCTCGGTCGTCCCGGGCAGATCGGCAAAACGTCAAGGGCTCGACAAACGCGGGCTCTTGTTTTCTATGTGCGGTTGTTATCGTTGCGCTAGACTCCGAAATCAGAAAAACGCAATCGTACGATAACGGCGATACAATCCAATCGTTTGGAAAAACCGTTTTTTATTTTTATTGTCATTACGGTTCTCGTTAAAACTACACAATAAAAGTATGACGCGACGAAGTTCTCGCCGCGTAAAAAAAGTGTGACGCAGAAGCGCGAAATTAATATTTTTTCGCGCGACGAAAGCCGTTTTTACACGGAGTGACGTGAAAAACGATACTGTACGTAAAATGTAAATTAATTTCTCGCGCGTTCCAAAA